TAATAATAATAATAATAATAATAATAATAATAATAATAATAATAATAAGTAGTAGTAGTAATAATAACAACAACAATAATAATAATGACAACAAAAACGATAATGACAATAATAATGATAATAAAAACGACAATAATGACAACAATAATGAAAATAAAATAGGATTCACAATGATGAAAATAATGATAACGCAAATAATAATAATGATAACGATAAACTAAAGAAAAAACGATTACGGTGTCAAAAAGATATTAGGAATGGGGGAACGTGGATTTGCTACGTAGAATTTCCCTATTTTATCCTCTGTGAGAGATAGCAACGGCGAAGAGTAGCACTTTACCAAGTGCAAATTGTGGTACTCACTTCTCATGGCTACTCAAAACACGAAACAGTCCTTACTCCTTAGTCAATATCAGTGTTCCTACTATCGAAACGAACTAAAAAATCACAGAAAGATCAAATTTGCTCTGGAAGAATGAATCCACTGGGCCAATAAGGAAAATCGTATATCTAAATTGATTTTCGATTTGCACTTGCGCCATGACTTGAGGCACTTCAAAAATATTTATAGCGAAGTGGCTATTTCGTTTATCAGACAACCTACGAAGCTAAAATTTTAGGTTGTATACCTCCAGTTAGTACCTGTCATCTGTTCGATGCATGGGTACCATTTCTTGGCCAACCTCCCGAATAATCGTTTACTTTCTCGTGGGTACCATTCATTTCTTCGCGACGTCTATCGATCGTCAGCAAACTGGGCAGCATGTTTTATCCAAACGATTTTATACTCGTGCGTGGTACACACGCGTATCAAACTAATCTGAATTCCCTCCACGTCTTCCAACCCTCATGCTTCTTCCATCTTACCTCGTATGTCATCTTCAGACGTACGCTTCGTCAAATCATGATATAATCCACGATCCAGTAGTATTCTGATGATAAGATCACGAATTGGGCCTCCGTAATCAACCAATTCCTGAAATTCTAGCATAAAATATACCTGTAAATTAATAACAAAACTTGCTTGGTTCCTGCGATTTTCCCACCAAATCAGTATCCGGGCGGGGAAACTAGCGCATAACAACTGCAGAGAAGGGCAGCGTGAGTACTGGAACCCGAAACTTAAC